ATAAACCTAGAGAGCACAGACGTAGATCCCGCAAACAAGCTACAACACGACATGACAACAATACGAACATCAAGGAGTGCCTGAAGTGAAAAGGGGACCATAGAAAGGTCGAGAAAAGGCTCATCAAGAGATACATTGTAAGACGCGGATGAGAGCACATGCCTATCATACAGCTCAATGAACCCCTCAGTTTACGATTAGCAACCCCAAGGTAAGAAGGCACATACAGCATGCGAGGGCTACTTAAGAGCCGATCTACAGTAGGAAAGCAGCCTGGGGGCTCTACAGCAGAGTGAGGGCTTTCCAGGCCCCAAACTTGTACTTAGTGGGAAGGTGAGTAGCCTTCTTGATGTGCGCGGCATGGAAAAGGGCGCGAATGAGTTATAGATCAAGACAAGACACTTCAAGGAGTATGCAGAGCAGTAGTCATAGCATTAGAGATCTCAATCATACAGCACACTATAATGCAAGTTACAGTACTAATTTAGACCCTATAAAACGAAAACAACTAGAGAGGAAATTAAAGGAAATTTATATGGGAAGTATTGAAAGGGAGGGGGGGTTGGGTTGTAGATTCAGATCTACAGATGAATTAGACTAGGTGGCAGGTCCGTGAACCTGCCACGAGATAAGGAAGGAGTGACTCCTTACTGCATAATCCTTTACAAGTCTTGTCATAATCTTAAAAAATTGGAAATTGTATTTCGAAAATAGCTCATCTCTTTTGATTGCTTGCCCGCATTCTAAATCACATAATGTGCAAGTCCACTGTTCGACATTAAATTCAACGTCGATGAGTAGGTGCCCAGGGTCGTTCATGAAGGCAGAAGATGCAGCGTTCTGACCAAGTAGCTTGCCTGCCACCGGCATAAGGAGCAAAGAGAGGAAGAGGGGGAGCAGCTAGGGGTCCAGGCTTGTTAGAAAAACCAAGGCCTTCGAGGCTACAGAGATAAAGTAGGTTGTAGGAAAGGGAGCAAGGTATTGGGAGGGATAAGATTGGATTGGCCAAACCAATGAAGGTAGGGGAGGGGGGGGGCAGGAAAGGAGGGGCATACCGTTCGCCACCTGAAGCTGAGCCACGAAAGCACAAGTGTTCCAAATATCCAAACTCTTCCTCTGTGCACAAGTATTCCGAATTTTTGAACTTGGAAAGGTTGTTAAGGATTGCTCTAAGACAAGACGATTGATGGTCGGCAAAGCTGTTGCGGTGCATGTCAAGCATCGTTGAGTTGACATATATCCAAGCTGGCATCGCAACATGCTACTCCGATTCTACCCTCAGGCTCACGATTCGCCTTTACCCAAGACAGAGGCATCCTCCCATTCTCCTCCCCCACACCCTTCCCCCCTTTCAACCTCCTGCCTACACAGAGTATACGTCTCGGCTGGCCTCTTCTCTCGTCTTGCGACTGTCACGTACTCCCCCCTTCCCCGCTCTGTCTCTGACCATGCCCTCGGCCCATCTTGCACTCTCCTTTTCCAGAACCTCAACACTGCACCCCGGCCTTGGCGGCTCTCCGCAACGCTCTTGCATCAGCCTTTCCTCCTCCATATTGTTACCTCTGCATGTGCTGCCTTCCCTCCCTCCCCCTCCCCCCTCAGCTGGGATTGTTGGAAACTCCTGCTGGGCAATCAACTTAAGAATGTTTCTACCCAGGAGCGAAAACGGGTCGCCAATACTTCTTCCTTCCTTCAGCTATGTATCTGCCAGCTCCAGCTTCAGCTCGCTACAGCTCCCCCTGATCATGCCTCTTCTCTTCTCCAGATATACACTGAGAAGCGCTATGAGGCCTCTCGTGCTGTAGAATTGACGCTCAAGCCTAAATCTAAGGTTGAGGGCCACAATGAGATGTGGATCCGCTCCCTTCTCGTGCGGATCAACTTCCGCATTTAAGCCATCCTGATCCCCTCTCCTTGCCTTCCATCATGATGCCTCACGTCCGATCTCATATCAATAGCTGGGCTATGTACGGAGTTCATTTAGCAATTGTATGGTGGCTCTCAGGCCGTCTTTGCCAACCCTGAAGTTTGGTCACATATACCTCCTTCCTCCATCCCCCCCCCTTCCTGGTCTCGAATAGCTGCCCCATTCTCCCTAGCCAAAGTGAAAATAGCTCCCAGTGTCAAATTACAATTGTATCTCTAGGCTACAGTAGGGTCACTCCTTAGTGAGTACAACACTTTAGGGTTAGGTTTCCCCTACTTGTACTCATCTCTTGCCTAGTTCACTCATTCATTCCTAGTTCTATTCTTAACACCCAGCTCTCTAGACACACGGCCCCGATGGTTTGCCAGGGGACTTCTTCCGTCACTACAAAGCGCAATTTGCCCCTGACTTCTCTCTCTTTTCTCCAGCCCCAATCTTGCTGATGCTCTTCCCCCCTCCATGTTAGGAGGACGTACAGTTTTGATTCCCAAAAAAGGTGACACTTCTATGGTGGACATGTCAAAGTAGGCTCATAACTCACACCTAGGGTTTAGCTAGGAAGAGTGAGTATGGAGAGAATAGTTTGGCCAAAGGAGGGTTTGCACTATGGAGTGACAAGTACAAATAGGCAAGAACAATGGTGCACCACCAACAATGAAATAAACTACACTACTGTTAATGCTAAAGGGCAGTTTATATAAAACACAGTTTCAACACACCCCCTAAACTGCCCTTAGCAATAACCAGTGTGAACAACACCAACTGAAGGAATACACCATAGCAGGTGCAGCAGGTTGCTGCGGTGACAGATGCGGCGTCACCAGGTGCAGCGGCGGCAGCTGGACTTCAATCCCGCCACCCCCTCACCCTCTTACCCCACAGCAGCAGGTGTGGCAGAAGGAGAGAGGCTGGGGGGGGGGGCGGCTGCTGCTGAAAATTATCCGCCACCCTTTCACCCTCCCCTCGACAGCAGCAGGTGCAGCCGTGAGAGAGGGGAGGCGGGCTGTCGCTGAAGGTGCAACCACTCCCTCATACCCTCTCCCCCCCCCCCCCCCCCCTTCCCACAGCAGCAGGTGCAACCGTGAGAGAGAGCAGGCGGGCTGGCGGAGAAGGTACAACCACCCCCTCACACCCTCCCCCCCCCCCTCAGCACTAGCCGCTGCAGGGACAGAGAGGAGAGCGGGGAGGCCGAGTCACCCACCCCCGCCTCCCCCACTTTCGGGCACCACCCCACCACCCCCCCGCACAGCAAAGAACACGCGAGGGACGGGCAGGAGGGCGGCGAATCGGGGAGGGGCGACGGGGGGGGGGGGCGCTGGGCGACGAAACGGCGCGGGCGAGCAGGGTTGCAGGGCGCGCGGGGCGCACGGCTGGCAGGAACCGCCGTGCGCTCGGGGCGCAAGACGGGCAGGAACCGCCGTGCGCTCGGGGCGCACGACGGGCAGGAACCGCCGCGCGCTCGGGGCGCACGACGGGCAGGAACCGCCGCGCGCTCGGGGCGCACGACGGGCAGGAACCGCCGCGCGCTCGGGGCGCACGACGGGCAGGAACCGCCGTGCGCTCGGGGCGCACGACGGGCAGGAACGCTGCATGACGGGCAGCGTGACGGTGGGCCCATGAGAAATTATCACGGAGGTCCTTAGAGGAACTTCCGGCTCTGATAGCATGTCAAAGTAGGCTCATAACTCACACCTAGGGTTTAGCTAGGAAGAGTGAGTATGGAGAGAATAGTTTGGCCAAAGGAGGGTTTGCACTATGGAGTGACAAGTACAAATAGGCAAGAACAATGGTGCACCACCAACAATGAAATAAACTACACTACTGTTAATGCTAAAGGGCAGTTTATATAAAACACAGTTTCAACAGGACAATCTTAGGCCGATTGCCTTGATGAACATCGATACCAAGGTACCACCAATCTGCCTTGCTAACCGCATTCAACCCCTACTCCCCCACCTCACTCATCCTTTGCAGACGGCATTCACCAAGTCAAGGCGCATCAGTGATGCTATCAATGACCTTGACTGGGTGTACCGTATGTTCAGAAGCTACCGCCCCTTGCCCTCACTGTCGATATGAGAAAGGCCTATGACTTGGTTGATCATCCATTCCTCTTTGCTTGTCTTGCTCATCTCAGGCTTCCACCAGCTTTCGGAACCTATACCAGAGTATCCATTAATAACTTTCCATCCCTCGGTTGCTCGAAATACTTCGCAGTTTTCTCTCCCCCCCCTCACCATCCGCCCTCCCTGTCTTAAGCCATGGTGTCTCCTTGCTGAGCCAATAGCTTTCAACCGTTATTTGCTCAAAACCCTCAGGCAAGCCTTTTGGGCGTATTGAGTTGGAACGCTTCCTGCTCACCAAGGAGATTCGGTTGGGGGATCTCACCAGACCCCAGGGTCCGTGTGCTCGACCCTAGACAGCAGAAGAATGCATGGCTGCCTACCCTCCACGCGAATACCCCGTAGGGCGCCGTATACTACACAAAATTTGCGATGCTATCCCAGACGCTGGGTGGGACTCTTTACGCCCAACTTCTCTCCCTTCTCGACTGGTGATTGGGCTATACTTCCTACATCTACTACCAGTATGCACTCTGCCCTATATTCAGGCCTTTCTGGTTGCGAACAGTTGAGTAGCAGCAGCTCTCCTTGCAGGTAACCTTTCCTTGCCTGTGAATGAAGGATTTCATCTTGCAGGTCGGGTGATGTCCGTTTTCAAACCAATAGCATGCATCGATGGCGAAGAGCACGCCATTGACACGGTATTAGCTTCATCCCGCTCCACAAATAACGCATTCCCTCAAAATCAGAACCGTCACAACTGCTGAGTGACAACCGTCACTGGCAACAATATAATTGCTTATAATTCCATTTAGGAAGCCCTTTATTCAGGAATCTCAATCCTCACCTAGTTGTCGTACAGCACATCTAGAAACACCCACCTAGTCCTAGTCATGAACTGATTCAGGACTTCCGGGAAGAATAGCATCACAATTGACTGACTAATAACTAGCTCTCAAGTGCAACCATGGCCACACCACCACCCAAAAAAAGCACCAACAAAATCCTCTTTATGTGCGCGACCAGCCATAGTCCTTCACCAGGTAGTTCTTCCGGAAATCGTTGCTGCGCGCGATAGCGGCCGCGCTGGGCCTGCGCGCCCAGGGGGCCTTGTTGCCCTGCAGGCTATTGCACCACGGGCGGCCCGTCTGCCCCGACGCCTTGCACGTGCGGCGCACATCGAAGCGGCGGAAAATCACCTCCTTGGGCCCGTTGCCCCAGTTGGGCTTCAGCTGGCTCCACGACGACGCGTCCCAGATGGAACCCTGGAGTGTTCGGGGTGGGAGGATACCAAGTGGGTGAGGGAAGGGGAGGGCGAGATAGTAACCTTGGGAAGCACGTGACAGCAGTGCATCTCGGAACGCTGGCCAAAACAGGCTTCAAGCCTTAGCGAAAAAATGGAGAAGCCGAAACAAACTTCCGTACCTCGAACTTGACGTTCTCGGATGGGAAGGGGCGGCCGCTCTCCTTATAGTGGATGCGGATGGGGGTGTCATCGATGGCCCACATGACGTAATCCGGCGAGTAGACGATGGTGTAGGTGTGAAACGCGGCGGAGGGGTCGAAGGGGAACTTGTACTGCTGCAGGTACACCTGCCCGCCCGTGATCAGATTCGTGTGCAGAATTATATCCTTCGGGGTATTTCCGCCGATAAATTCCAGGTCGATCTCGTCGTGAGGGTCGGTGTACTTCGGGTTGTTGCCCGAGATGAGGTAGAGGCAGGGAATCAAACCGCCGGAGTAGCCGGAAGGGAGCTTCATGTTGACTCGGAAGATTCCGTAGCCGAAGTAGCCCTTCGAAGTGAACTCTGTCGCATTGGGGGAGAGGGGCGGAAAAAAAACGGTGGTTAGCAGGTCGCAAGAGGAAGAGAGATGTACGAGAAACCCTTACGCCCGTCGAGTAATTTATCCTTATAACGGAACGTATCGTGATTATGGGGCAAGCGGGAGGAGTTGATGTGGGCTGGGATGGAAAATAGTGGGAGAAATGGGGGCATATGGCGAGTTGGGGTGTTCGGGGCAAGTGTGAAGACGGATGAAGGGAAACATTTTTAGCTTCCCATCGTTCGATCCTTATGCGGTGAAGGTAATGAGCTCATCATTCACTAGCTATTGCGAGGGGCTTCGGGATACTTTGAAACGCAATGCCCACCCACTCATTGCCTGTACTACTCCCAACGATCGTAACGCACTCGCTAACCTCCTTGCCCGAAATGCACGCACTGCATGTAGTGCATTTCCTTCCCGTACTGCAATTACTGCCCGAAGAGCACTCACTCCCCATCTTATTCGTGTAGGCAGAGAGCTTCACGGAGCCGTCGGATTGGCGAGAGCAGCCGCCGTCCCACTTGCAAAAGTCGGGCAGAGCCATGAATCTGTCAAACGACCCGTCATACTTCGCCGCCGCCGTCGCCACGCACGCGAGCAGCATGCCTAAAATCAATAGGCGGCTCGTCGCCATGGTACTTTGAGAAGAAAACGACGGAAAAACGATGGCAGGAGACTGGGTATTCGCGTTTGGCGACACACTTGCGGGTCCGTAAGGTTACAAGCCGACTAAGGAGAAGGGGCGCGATGAAAGAGGAAAAGAGAAGGGCTTTTTAAGTGGTGTGGTTGCACAAACGCTCTTAGGTTCTATTGCTAAGGCATGTGTCGCATCGCGTTGAACAAGGAGGGGGGAAGCGCGCTGAGAGTGGGGGACGAGGAAAAAAGTATCGTGAGTCGAGAGAGTTGCCCGCCGCTGGTCAAAGTTGGGCTGCGCAAGCCAATCTCTTGCGCCGTTTCTCGACTTTGGCCGAGTCGCGAGATTACAGACCAGCCCACATTCTCGACTGCTCCGCTTCCTTGGGCTTGTGACGACGAATCGCAATCCCCGTGTCGCCAGCGAGTACGACAGGCTACGTCATCATGTGTGATGTTGGCCCCTGCTATCGTCGTATAAGAGGGTGCCAACTGGCGTGCATCTTCCTCACCGACAATTCCACAGCACCATTTTGGCGGTCAGGGACGGTTGCGATCGATTCGCCTTGCTTTCCCAAGTTTCCTGTAAAAGGGGAAAGCCGACAGAGAGGGCTCGTTTGTATCACCCAACGCACTTGCAATCAGCGGCTCTACGCGCGAGGTCGATGGGATGGGAGTCGACGCGCATTACCTCACCTGTTACAGTGTACACCATGCAAGACTAGACCTGTTAGGAGTTACCAAACAGAGTGCTGAATTAAATCATATTCGTTACGAGTAAGGCGAGGGAACATTTGAGTGACTTGACAATGACAATGACAATGACTCTCCGCCCTAGACCGCCATGGCTGCCACCTGGACTTTCGGAGCTACCAATGTCGGTGCTCCAGAGTGTTACTGTTGCTAATAACCCGCTAACGAGCATCGCCTTTCTACAAGGATCACGTCGTTATATTTTTTGTGTCCATACAGAGGACATTGTTTCGACAGTTCCCAAGGCTTTATCTCGTTTGGTTTCAGCATCTAACACCAATGACAACTTTCTAGGTCCTATGTTGGTCGCTGAGTCAGCGCACTGTCTCCAAGGTTTTATTTCCGTCAACTACTACAAGGCGTTTCCAGATCCAAAGACATTATCCAGGCATGGGTTTCAGGCTTCACAAGCTCGCTCCAGAAGCGTTTTTAAGGCGCTCAGAAGGTTTGTTTCTCCAGCACTCTGCTGGCTGTGGTGGCTTTTTCATCATCACGCCATGCCTCCAAGAGCGAGGCTTGTTAAGCCTGTTCACAAGATGGACCCTGCTGCTGCTGCTGCGCTTAAGACTCCCATTGCGGGTCCCTCTGCGCGTCCACTTTCGGCTACTGCTGTTCCGTCGAAGTCGTCACGCACTCTGTTTGCGGAAGAAGACTCGGAGTCCTTGACGCTGTCAGCCAAGTTGGCGGCCTTCCGGATTGAGCAAGCTGCTGGAGGGAAGGCAGAGAAAGGCAAGGCGAAGGACGCGGATTTTAAGGATGCAGTATCTGACGCGGAAGAAGATCCTGCTGCGGACGACGAAGACGGTGAATCATCTGGTGCTGCTCGTCGTGTCTGCCTCCTTGATGATGAGGATGACGGGCTTTTGGCTCATGATCCAAAAGAATGTTTTGAGGACAAGGCAAAGGAGGAGCTGGCGGCGAAGCTACGGTTCCCGCTCACCCTGCTGATCCCAAGTGACCATTTGCAGGAGGTCCGTCGTACGCAGGCGACTGTTAAGGAGCTGCTAGGGATCTGGGAGAATGAACTTACGGAAAACGTGGCGAAAACGACAACGTTCCAGGAACTTGACCCGGGTTACATTTCGAAGAAGCTTTACGGTCGCATGCAGGTCATTTTCGTTGCTGCTTCTGACGCTAATTTTGTCTGGTGTAACCGTATTGAACACCAGTGCGTGGGTGGGAAGTATATCTTCCTGGACTGGCTGTATCCGGAAGATCCAGGTTTCACGAAGCGGAAGATTACTGACCCGTTGGTTATTGAGGTGTTGTTCCTCGGTGTCGCTGCGGAGATCTCACCGGAGATGCTTCATGAGGCGCTGGCTGTCTCACCGCTGAAAATCTGCAAGCGCCCGGCCTTCAAGGAGGGTTATCGCTTCCACCGCGTGGTGCATCCTGTTTCGGGCTTTGACACAGATCGGGTGAAAGGGCTGGTTGTCGCCCATGAGAATGATCAGTTTCGGTGGCTTCATCAGTTCGTAAATCCGATTTCGCCTGGAGTGAAGATTATGGTGCATTACCCGGCTTTGAAATGTTCGCTCTGCGGGGGGATGCACTCCGTGCACAATAACAATGACTTCGTTACGGAGCGGCAAAACAACATCTCCAAGTGGAATCTCACAGTGGGGAGGATCCAGGAGCTCAATGGTAGAGACGGTGCTTTCTGCTTACCTTTCCATGCTGTCCGTGCTGTCGCTCTTTTTCTTCGATTGGCGGTGTCTGATGTCCAGCTGCTTACCTCCCACCCGTGCAGCGGCTGCGACAGTAGCCACGGCGACAACCAGGATCATTCTCAAGGACCCTGCGCTGGTGCTGGTCTCAACGGCTGGGAACAGGGAGGAGTGGGTATGCCTGCTGGATTGCTGCGAGATCGGGAAAGGCTCTTCTTTCGAGCAAGCTGCTCATCATGTGCTGTCTCAGCGTCACCGGGGGGGGTTGGTGAAGCAGGGAGCGGCGACACGTGCTCTCAAGGACAAGCTGAACCTTCGTGTGCTGCGCAAGGAGTATGGGATCTAAGTAATGTCTCTGCAAGGAGGAGAGAAGGGGAAGCAATGTTAGTACGAGGACTATGTATACTGTATGCGATGCTATATAGCGATAACTTGTTCTGTTTCAGTTGCCTTTTTTCAGCCCGTGGATGCTTTGGGGCTCTCACCTGGTTGATTAATGGATAAACCCTGCAAGCTGTCAGTGTGCGAGCTCAATGTCAACGGGCTCGGGAGTAGAGGAAAGCAACGGAACCTGAAAAAGTGGACAAGAAAGGAAGCAGATATTTTCATTCTTACGGACACGCGTGTAGCTCCTGACCATGAATGCTGGAAACGGCTGGGGTTCCACCATTGCCTAGCGGTGGCGAACTCGGAGAGAGCTGGAGGGGTAGCAATTGTCAGCAACAACAAGCAGTTAGTCTTCGAAAAAGTTATCTTTCACGCATCGGGGAGACTTATTCAGGCGGATGTCAGATGGGATACTTACAGCTTTACGATTTTGACGGCTTACTTCCCTGCGAGCGCGTGCTGCAGAGTCACCTTTTTCAGGGACACGCTGAGCCCGTTTCTCGTCAACCTGAACGGTCGGAGTCGGCTGCTTCTCGCGGGGGATCTTAACGTTGTGGAAGATCCGTTTCTGACAAGCTGATGCAGCTTTTCAGCGGCTTTCACATGTCGGACGCGTATCGGACGCTGAATCCCGGGGGTCGAGAGTACACCTTTTACGCCCATGCGTCCAGATCCAGCTCGAGAATTGACCGGATCTTGGTGTCGGCTGAGTTGCTCCCTTCAGTGGTTGAGGCTGCTCACACGCGCTCACTAAGGGGTATTTTGGACCACAAGTTCGGCATCAAGGTGGTGCTGCAGGCGAACTTGAGACTGCACACGGGCCCGGGCATCTGGCGGTTACCATCTGCAGACACGGCAAAGCCAGGGGAAGAAAGGGTGGTCAGAGCGGTCACGGAGAGGCATCACGCGGGAAAAACGGGTAACTTTGGCACTCTTCTCACCAAGCTTAAGGCGGCGTTGAGGAGGTATGCGACAGAGGAGCGGAAGCGGGTGCGTGCGACGCTTCGTCATTTGGAGCTGGCAGTCTCTGGTCTACAGCACGGGGTGATGCGGGAGCCTCATCGGGATGACCTGCGAGCGGCCCTGCTGGAGAAGGAATCTCAGTTTGACGCTTACTTGAAAGGGGAAAATGAGAGGCTACATCTCCTGGCCGGGGTGAAAGAGGCAACAAAAGGGGAGATCGCTTCGAAAGTGCTCTCGGCAAAAGTGAAGTCAAAGAAAACAAGGACAATGATCACTGCTTTGTCTTATCAAGGGGTGGAGCAGAGGGGTACGAAGGGGATTCTGGAGGTTGCCTCCAATTTCTACTCGGCGCTGTTTGCCGAAACTCCTCCGTCGGGGCTGGCATGTTGGAAGCCGGACCTGCGGAAGACACTTGGGGAGGAGGAGGCTGCGGATCTAGAATTGGAGTGGTCAGAAGAGGAGGTGAAGAAAGCGCTGAAAGACATGGCATGTGACAAGTCTCCGGGCAATGACGGGCTGCCAAAAGAGCTTTTTGAGCGACACTGGGACCTGCTGAAGGGAGATCTCATGGGCTTTGTAAAGAACTTCGAGGCAACGGGGGTGCTCCCGGAGGAGGTGCAGGAAGCGGTAACCATCCTATTGCACAAGAAAGGACCGAAGGAGCTGGTGCAGAACTACAGACCAATCACCTTGCTGTCAAGCTCTTACAAGGTGGTTGCGAGGCTGCTAGCCAATCGCATGAGGAAGGTCTTGGGCACGGTCATATCCGAGGAGCAGCACGGTTTTCTCCCGGGAAGAAGGCTCTCGGATGCAGTGTCCACGGTCGCGGATGTGATTGAAGCTGCGAACAACGATGACGAGGACTGGTACTTGCTAATGGTCGATTTTCAAAAAGCCTTCGGTTCTGTGTCGCGAACGTTCCTCTTCGACACGATGGTGCTGATGGGATTTCCGCCAAAGTTTGTCAAGTGGTGTGAAGGGCTACACGGAGGATCGTTCACCCGGCTCTTGGTCAACGGATGGCTGGGGGACCGTGTTGATGTCCGCAGGGGAGTTCGGCAGGGCTGCCCTTTGGCGCCATACCTTTTCCTGTGTGCGGTGGAGCCGATCTGCCAGGAAGCAAAGCGCAGGAGGTTAGGCGTTTGTGACGAACAGGGGGACCGATTGGCTTACCTCGGCTACGCTGACGACACGACGCTCATTTTGAAAGGAAAGCGGCAAATCGGTCGGGCTGAAGAGTTGTTGGAGGAGTTTGGTGCCCGCTCTGGCCTACGGGTAAACAAGGACAAGTCGGCGCTGCTCCCGCTGCGGAAGAACCTGAAAAAGGACAAGGACGAGGAGTCAAGTTTCACGTGGGTGGAACCGAATGAAGCGGAAAGGCTGCTGGGGGTTTGGGTATCCCCATCAGGGAGCGCGGAGGTCACCTGGGATAAAGCGCTGGCCAGGGCGGCTGAGGAGCTAGTGAAGTGGCAATCGCAGCACCTCACCACAACGGCGAGAGTGGCGGTGGTTAACGCCTACATATGCCCAATCTTGGCCTTCCAGGGGCAGGTCTACCCGCCGTCGGATAAGGTGTGGAAGCGGATTATGAAATTGGTGGTTAATTTCATCTCTGGCAATCGGGCGTCGGTGGAGCACCATTTCTCACTCTGGAGTAGAGAGCTGATCTTCAGACCGCGGAAGGACGGAGGACTGGGGGTGCGTGACCCTTTTATTGAACTCTGCGGCCTGGCTGCCAGACGAGTGGGGAAGTTAGTGCTGAATGTCGGAGGCGTCCGCAGGTGGCTGGCGACGAAAGCGGCAGACCTCCCCACGGGCTTCCGCTCTTTCTAGGCACATGCAGATTTCCTGAAGGATTGGAAGGGGCGCAGTGAAAGGTGGAGACAGACGTGTGAAGCCTTCATGAGGTCAAAGATTGCAAAGGAAGGTCCGTTAACACGGTGGGACATCGCGCAGGAGCCGCTGATTTTCAATCGACGCATCCTGCCGAACGGGAAAAAGCCACTGGGTCGACAGAAGGCGGCGAAGGGGCTGGAGCTGATTCAGCTGGGTGATTTTGTCAGCTGCGCAGAGGACGGCACGCGCTCCCTCAAGGTCGAAACGGTGCTAGCCAGGGAACTGGGCACGCTCAAGAAGGCGAGGAGGGCGCTTAATTTTTTCGCCAGCGTCCCGGATTCCTGGAAGGTGAAGCTGTTGGCGCCTATCACGGGGCAGGAGCTCCTGGCGGTATCACCATACGTAAAAGAGATAGGCGCGGTGGGAGTCTGGAAAGCGGATGCGGTGGTACAGGAGGGGCTTCTCTGCCGAGCATGTGACTTTTTTGGTGAGCCCTTGAGAGGGGACGCGGAGAGGTTGGAGGTTTTCGGCCTGAACGAGGTGGAGCCGTTGTTGGTGCGGAAAGGAAGGGTGATCGGGGTGGGTGGTCTACCCGAGGTATGGCTGCGATGTTCGGAGCTGTGCGCGGAAGACCAGATCCCTCCTTTCAAGCAGCTGAGAGAGCTCTTTGGCATGCAGCAGGGAGCAATGCTGCAGCAAGAAAAGTGGGCGGAAGACTGGGGGAGTGTCATTGATTGGAAAAGGGTCATCAGGGTGCGGGACTCTACAGTGCTCCCGAACCGGGCTCGTGATGTCCTGCTTCGTCTGCATTGCCGTAACCTGCAGGTTGGGGTGAGGCTGAAATTCCTGGAGGGTGTGGCATGCCCACACTGCGGGGAGGAGGAATCAACAGAGCACTGCTTGTTCAGCTGCCCTCGCATCCAGCCTGTGGTGCATGGGCTGCTAAAGGCCCTTCGTCTTTTCAATCCGGGCAGGAAGATTACGTCGCTGGGGGACCTGCTTTATCAAAAAGAAGGTTCGGGGTCGGGCTTTCCGGAGACAACTATTACCGCCATCGCTTTGCACAAAATCTGGGTGGAGAGGTGTGATGCTGTGTTCGAAAGGAGTCGGTTTCGATCTAGAAGGGTTTTGCGCAGGATCGCGGCGGCCTTCTATACGCATGCGAGAGTTACGTGCCAAGAAAGGATGTAAACGGGCAAGTGCTGGTCTGGGGCCGGGGCAACGCTCTACCTTAGAGCGGTTGGATCCGGATGAATTCCGTCTTTTGAGCAGGGTCTGTGACAGCTCGGCGAAAGCGCTTGCGTGGACCAGTGGCTTCACTTCCATTTGGGCCAATCCGCGCACTGTCTTTCGTCCCCCATAGAGTGTCAGGATGGGTACGATAGCAGGCTGCTGTCTAGGCCCATCGGCTACAGTTACGACTGTTAATGCTTGTATGCACTGTTATAGTGTATCTTGCGTTGCCAAAAAAAAAAAAAAAAAAAAAAAATCGAGTGAGGCGAGGATTGCATTAACGGGGCAAAGTAACACAATGTGAGTGAAGGCACGAGCGAAAATTAACACAGAAATAGGAGCTAGATTATGCAGCGCTGGTAATGAGGCTTGAGCTAGAAAATGTAGGATGACTCGGCCGAGTATAGCAATGCACAGTTTGGCAAAAGTGGCGCGTGAAGTGGCAAACGTTGTTAATCAGTAACTGGAGAAGAACGGTCGAGTGCTGTACGCAGTAGGTGTTAACGTTGGAATAACCGAATGGTTATGAAAGCATTCTCGAAGGTTTCGCCTTAGTGCACCAGTTCATAACGAACCTGAGCATATACCAATATCGTGTTAGCTCGTATAGAACACGCAGCGAAGGTCAAAAGTCGGGAAAGTCAATGGTCACGACTATTGTCCACCTCGCAACTGTCATCAGAGGTTAGGCATGTCAAACATTGTATATGTTTCTATTTCTGTAGGCTATAGTGGGTTTAGCCTTAGGGGGTACAACATTCTAGGTTTTCCTACTTGTACTCCCAATGCTGCTAGTTCACACATTCCTCTCTCATTCTAACATGGCATTACGAGCCTAGGTTAGGAACCTAGGACCGCTTGTTCCTAAGGGCCCACCGTTCCGCTAGAAGCGCCCTCGTGCGCCCTACCTTCCTTGCGCCCTCGTGC